AAACTAATTTATTTAACATTGAATAACTGATTTTAAACTAATTTATTTAACATTGAATAACTGATTTTAGATCAACTGTTTTTTTGAACGCGGTACAACCATCGTGCACTTTGTATAAATACACGGAGCCTCTCGGTGGCGGCTGCGGCCCGGAAGTGTTTGTGAGTCCATTAAAAGCCAGTGGACGGAGGCTAACTTTAGCGTTAGCTGTCAGCCGGGTTCAGTCATTGTGCAGGATGGAGCTGACACGGAAGAGTGAGTAGACGGGCACGTGTCCCTCTCGGGGTTTATTCGGTTTGTCTTAGACACGGTGGAAATGATCCCCGCCGGCAGCGGCATGTCGTGTTCCCGCAGAGGCGACGGCTCTGCGCGGCTTCTTTTAGCTAGCTAGCTAAGCTAACGGGCTAGCTAACGGGCTAGCGAGCTGCGGTGGGGGGGGGATGTCTGTGTTGCTGCTCGGCGGGTTAAGCACGATGTCCGCATCTCGGCGACATTTAACCCCGCTGTGATTTTTTTCACTTCTCCGCAGACTACAAGGGGTGTTTGAAGACGGTGTACAGCGCCATAGAGGAGGCGGACTTTCTCGCCATCGATGGAGAGTTTTCAGGTAAGCGTCGCGGAGCTCGGTTCGCCGATGGACGTGACGGTTGAAACCGCGAAATGTGACATGTGCGACTTGTGTTTTTCAGGGATAAGCGACGGTCCCAATGTCAGTGCACTGACCAACGGACTGGACACGCCGGAGGAGCGGTACACCAAGCTCAAAAAGGTCAGCAGAGCTGGATGATGATGGTGATGTCTGCTCAGTTTCATTCCCACAAGTCACAGGTGCAGTTCAAGTGTGCAGCATGCATCACCCTGTTCACAGGGACCCTCAACTCTCAATACCTCCAGAGAAAAGTTTTTATAGATTAACCCCAGGAGGAGCACCAGAGGAAGGGAGCTACTTTGTGGTTGGTGTTACACGGATATCCATCCCGTGTTATCCCATTACAAGTGTTAAGTACAGGTCTGAACGCACCCAGATGTGACCTGAGAGGTAATCACTAAATCAGATTCAGAGTTGGTCCATGGCTCATGTGGTCAGGTTCTTTTTTTTATTTTAATTTTTTTACAATGTGTGAATGCAAATGCGTCCCAGGCCACATATGAAGGAGCAGCACCTCAGCTGACATCCTCTGACCCACAGTTTAACAATGAATCAAACATGTTACGATTCTCAGAGTTCATGCGTTGATTTGTTTCACCATCACAACATCAACACATACATTGTTAAAATCTTTCTTCATAGCACAGCTGCAGAACGTTCATATACTGCTCCTGACTCCTCTCTCTCTCTCGCTCGCTGTTTTGGCAACACGGAAATGATGGGTGTGATTATTTGCATATAGAGCAGGGAAGTGAGATTGGAGGAACTATTTTCATTTCAGGTGTAAACACACATCCTTAATGCTGTCGGATCTAGACAGGTCTGAACATGGCCTATGATCAAGAAACGTCCAGGTGCAGATAGGATGTCCACTCTACATGAAGACCTGGAAAGAACAGATCACACCACACTAGGACAAATGAACTCAGAGGGAGAGGGGACAGGTGTCCACATTAGGAGGAGGAGGCTGAGTCTCCTGCACACAGATCTTGTGCATCCCTCAACAGTTTGGTGGCGGTCTGTTTGTTTATCTAATTAAACATCTTTTCTTTTCTTTTTTTTATTTCCACCAGCACTCCATGGACTTCCTGCTGTTCCAGTTTGGATTATGTACATTCAAGTACGACCAAGCCAAGTCAAAGTGAGTGATATCTGCCGATCAATCGCAGAATTTTAAATCTGACTGTGGTTTCTCAGAAAAATTTGAAGTACTTTCTCCCAAGGGACTCCCAACAGTCAGCTGCTCATATTTAAATCTTATTCGTGACATCAGAAAAATATATCTAAGTCCAACATTTTGCTTCGTAAGTACTGAAAAGAGCCCAACTCATGGAGAATCCTTTCTGGGACAATTTTAGACTCATTAACTGGACAAAATAAACAATTACTCCTTGTTCCTTCTCCTGGATTTATCAATGCAGGAGTGTCACGTGGGCCAGTGCCTCAGAGCATTGAGTTATCCCACATTTTATTTTTAAGTATTTGCAAAGATATTTGTCTACTAAGGTCTAATGATGGAAGTGATCCCAGCTTTTTACCTCTGTTTCCTCTCATCTCTTCTCTCTAGGTATATCATAAAGCCTTTTAATTTCTATGTATTCCCGAAACCATTCAACAGGACGTCCCCTGACATAAAGTTCATCTGTCAAGTAAGTCACTGTTGTTTCTCTGGGTTGTCTAATTGTTGAACAGCTGAGATTAAAGACTTTTAGAAACAGCAAGATGGTTTATATCCGTTCCTGCTTGGTCGGCCTTGAAAATCTTATTTCCGTGTCGGTTGTTTTCTTTTCCAGAGTTCCAGCATCGACTTTCTGGCCAGTCAGGGATTTGACTTCAACAAGGTGTTCTGTCATGGTGAGTGCAACACAGAATGACAGTGAAATGTACTTTTTGTTTCATGATGCTTAGTGCTGGGCATCTATTCCCATTATCTGACCACTAACTGATTTATCAAAAGGATCCACGTAACTACATAAACTGCTAGTGAATGCTTGGTCTGTTTCTTCATGGGTTTAGATATCAAACCATTTCAAATTAAAATCATGTTCATTTGTGGTTCATTCATGCAAAGTGTTGATTATCAGACCACTTTCAAACCAAATCCCAAAGTGTGAGAGGTTTACAAAATAATGTCAATGCTACAGATTGAGTCGGACATAAATTATACACACACACACTACATTTCCAATTCACCTCAAGCTTGTGCTTCAAAATGTGTAAGCCCTCTCAGCCATGACTTAATCCATAGTTGTTTTTTTCGCTGTACAACCGAACACGGTCCTCCTCCTTGTTTGTTTTGCTTCTTAGCAGAGCCTGCAAGATCATTGATTCTCTGATTTACTTGTATCTACCTTTTCCCCATGTTGCAAATGTTGTTGAAGACGTGCCACATCACTGAATCAAAATGTTTTAATGTGATAAATGCAATAATAAAAGAAACAGTTTGTGTAGAGCAACTACAGAAAGTCATGCACACAGAAGTAAAATTCAGATCTTTGTGATTTTCAAAGGAATCCCATACTTAAACCAAGAGGAGGAAGCCCAGCTGAGGGAGCAGACAGAGGACAGGAGGAATCAACACGCTAACGGCCTCGGGACACCGTCCTACATCTCCCCATCGTCCTCCAAAGGCCCCGCACATGTACCTGATGAACATAAAGACTTCATCAACAGGGTGGTGTAAGTGTTACGGCACATGTGGTGCAGCCCAGATTTCAGGTGTGAGTGAAACGTCTTCACTTCAGGCCATGTGGTGGCTCCTGTTTCACACTGAGGACCTAGATTAAATGACCTGTTTTTCTTTCCTTGGGGGTAAAATGAGCACGACCCAGAAACAATGCCCCAGAATTCCTCAGTAGTAGTATTCCTTAGTATATGAAAGAACATTAAGACTCCTGTTTCTACAAAGCCACTGCAGTGACAGTGACTCAAAAATGTGATTACAAACAAGTATATTCAATTTACTAATTCCAAACCTTCAAAACAAATGCAGCAAAATTATGTTTATGTTTTGATTGTTTCCGCTTCATTTTTCCAGAGAGAAAGTTGAGGCCCTCTTCACTAACTCAGAGAAGTCCGTTAACTTGGAGCCATGCACAGGGTAAACGACAGCTTCTCTCAAAATGCCCCATCTACGCTGTTTGTATTTACCATGTTCAGTTTGTATTTGAATCCCTGCTCACTATATTTGTTTCCTTGCCAGGTTTCAGAGAAAGCTGATATACCAGACCCTGAACTGGAAGTGAGTCTCACAAACCTATTCACTGTTGTTGATGTGTGTGTGTGTTTGTCGTAGATTAACGTTATTCTCGCTCTCGCAGGTTTCCCAAGGGGCTTCATGTGGAAACCGTGGAAACCGAAAAGGTTAAATCATTTCTTAATTAAAATGGTCTCGCCTCCTGTTTTGCTTTTAATTTGCGTTGTATAGAATGGTGCATTGCAATTTGTTGGTTTGCAGAAAGAGCGATTCATCCAGGTCTGCAGAGTAGATGAAGAGGAGAGGAAGAGGAGGGAGCAGCAGAAACTGGAGAGGGAGCAGGAGGAGCTAAACGATGCCGTTGGATTCTCCAGGGTCATCCACGCCATCTCTAAATCTGTGAGTCGCCTCTTTGAATGACAGTTCTTTTTAAATATGTTTGGCTTTGGTGTGAACCGTACCTGTGACCCCTCTCCTCTGATTCACAGGGTAAACTTGTGGTTGGCCACAACATGCTCTTGGATGTGATGCACACCATCCACCAGTTCTACTGCCCTCTTCCAGAGGTACCTACTCCAGATGGACATTTTAAAATGAGCTTTTACCAGCTGCCTAATCTTCAGCCTCTTTTGCTTCACAAAAATAGCAGTTTAAAGCTAAGTAATGTCATTCATGCATAATTTATACCAGTACTCCTTTCTGCAGGATCTTCAAGACTTTAAAGAGGTCACAATGTGCGTCTTCCCAAGGTAACTCATCGCTCTACTGCTAAATTCATTTTTGTATCCTCTTAACAGTAAAAAGCTCTTTGCTTTATTGTTGTTAATGTGTTCTTCTATCCTGCCCGTTGACTTGCAGACTAATGGACACAAAGTTGATGGCTTCTACTCAACCTTTTAAGGTAGACATTAAAACTCACATTTTTCAAAATTATCTTTAACTGCTCAGGATGTAAGTAACTTATTAAAATCCATTTGAATGAACTGGTTTGATTGTGACCTGGTGAATCCATCCAGATTTCTTTCATGAGTTTTTAAATGTGGTGTTGCAGGATCTGATCACTAACACGTCTCTGGCAGAGCTGGAGAAGCAGCTGAAGGAGACCCCCTTCAAGTCACCACAAGTTGGTGAGAAAACTTTATTTTTTTTAAAAACTTATTCCTGCAATAATATGCTGCTGACACTTTTTTCTTCTCCGTACCTGTTCCAGAAACTGCAGAGGGGTACCCCAGTTACGACACAGCCCAGGAGCAGCTCCACGAGGCCGGGTATGACGCCTACATCACTGGCCTCTGTTTCGTCTCCATGGCCAACTACCTGGGTAACACGCACGATCTCACTGGTCCTGCTTGACAATATAAATATATCTAAATTCACATGGCTCAGCTGATCTGCTCAACACTCTTTCTTTTCAGGCTCTTTCTTGACTCCACCCAAAGCTCACATCTCAGCTCGATCCAAACTCATTGAGCCATTCCACAACAAGTAAGAGATGCGCTCAAATGGATTTTTGTGAACTGTGTGAAAATTCAAGAGAGGTGTCTAATATTTCCACTTCCTGTCCTTTAGGCTTTTCTTGATGAGGATAATAGATATTCCCTACCTCAACATCACAGGACCAGATTGTGAGTAAAATATTCATAGCATTGAATGTCAACATTTGTTTTGATTCACTTAACGAAGCTTTCATACAGTCATTGTTATCTCTCACCCTTCACTGTATTTTCTGCTCTTACAGTGCAGCCTAAAAGAGACCATGTCCTCCACGTCACCTTCCCAAAAGAATGGAAGACTAGTGACCTCTACCAGCTCTTTAGTGCCTTTGGTAAATCTTTTTATTCTGCTTGTTAACAGGGATGAGCCCGAATTTATCACTCACTTTCTCTTTCTTCAATCTGCTCAGGGAACATCCAGGTTTCATGGATAGATGACACATCGGCGTTTGTGTCCCTAAGTCAAACGGACCAGGTACAGATCGGTGAGTTTTGACGACCTTCCTCCGCACCAGACGGGACGCGCACCATCCTCACGAAAACACGATGACACAACCTGATCGACTTCCTCTCGTCCCACAGCTATGAACACCAGTCGCTATGCAGAGAGTTACAGGATCCAGACGTATGCCGAGTACATCCAGGGGAAGGAGAAGGACAAGGTCAGGCAAAGCAGCAGAACCTGGGGCGACGACAGCTGGGTGAAACCTCACTATACCTCATCCACTACTTGTGGTTTCGGATATTCCAGGTATGTGTCACAACTGTTAACGACATTTATTTTCAGCATAATATTCAGTGTGTTTCCCTGTTGCCTTAGATTTCCTGCAGGTAACTTATACTCTGCTCTATTGTTTTATTCCAGGGGTTTGCGGAAACGCAGCATCAGTCCGGTTCATGGAGAGCCAGGGATCGGAGATCTTCTGATTACAGACGGCTGGAGTCACTATTCATACCCGGATAGCATGGGCAGCAAGAAGATGAAAACTGATGGTGTGTGAACACATGCATGCATATATACTTTCCTGCTGCAGACACGCAGGTCACCCTCAGGAAAGTACTTAGCAGGGATTCAGTGTCCCCTGAGGACGAGGGCAGGGAGGCATCTTTGAATAACCAGAATTTGAAGTTTTATTTATGACCACCTGCTCCAGACCAGACAGAGCCGGTGTGTTCTGGATTGACATTGTTTCCACACACATATTTGGGGATTTCAGTGATGCATCTTGGGTTTTATTTTCAATCTCATCTTAATATAAGACTTCTGCAAACAGGCTCTCATGCACCAGTTGTTGTTGTTGTTGTGCTCCCTAGATGCAAGTGGACAGGCAAATGCTGACGCCGTTGAGAGCAAGACATCAGAGGGGTGGCTGAAGACGACGTAAGTGAAAACAGAGCTGATTGTTTTACTCTGTTCCTGTTTGCTGTGATTTTAAACCTCTTCATGGCGGCTGTGCTCTGCAGAGATGCAGCCGATTTAGCAGAGTTCAGTCCTGTCCCCGATGAGGAGGAGGGAAATCCTGAGGGCACCGATCCAGCCAATAATGCTGAGGGGACGGTCACCTGGCAACAAGCCCCGGCAGCTAATGCAAGGAAAGGTCAAAAGAAAAAGAAGGCTGAAGGTATGTTTGTTCCCCATAATCATTACATTTACATATATTCTTTATTATTTATTCCTTTATATTTTTCCCTTCACCAACGAAAGCACAAGCCAATTTTGTACAACCAGAATATTTTGATTGTTTGATAACTTGGTCGTGAAATTATACAAACACAAAGTTTTCCCCTAACACAGTTATGGGACTCTGTATTGAGCCATGTTCCGACATGAACACTTTTCTGGACAGTTTCACATTTGAAGAATGTCTTGGTCAGACTCACATAAACTATAAAATGTCCAGAGCGTTCAGGAGAGGGGAGGCAGCTGGCAGGAATAGATCTGGAAAATGTCTGCGGTACAGTTTATATGTGAAAGCAGCTTTGTTCAGGCAGCATCAAACTTTAATTGATCACCAGCATGATTATAAATAATCCTGAATGTCTGAACCAGATTTATTGGCAGTAGAGTTTGGTGGTGGTGTAACAGGAAAAGTCAGGGGGTCACCAAATATTTTATACAGACATCAATTGAATCCTTATCTCATGACAATCTGGCAGATAGATATTTAATCTGAACCAAAGCGTTGGAATGATAAATGACATAGATTGCACAGCACTTGTTAATAAATGTATCTGAGATATGGTTTTTTTCTTGTTATCTGAAAACATCTCCATCCTTTACAGCGGCCGAATCTTCAACTTCGCTGTTTGACGTCCCAGATGTCTGGTAGCGAGAGGTGAGGAGCGGAGCAGCCATGCTCCAGCACTGGGCTCCTCCTCAGGCTTCTCCTAAGCACTTGAGTCACTCTCCTGGAAGGTCGTAAGTCACCGGGAGTGGCCCTAAATTCATTTGTTCACTCAGAAGCTGCGGATAACGGTTCCAAAGCCACCAGCCTATCTTGATTTGACTGGACTATTTAAAAGAGAAAACACAAGCCATAACAACGACAGCTGCCATATTTTGATCTTACACCAGAGGAGCAGGCAACTCTTCCGGATAAACACACAAATGAACCACAACATCTTAAAAAGCTTAAATACAGAAATGTTCATTTATCTTCCGCTCAGTCCAGAGTGCCACCACAGCCGAGCGTTCACTTTGTATTCATTCATGAGTTTTAACGACGAATCACCTCTATTCAGTCTTATATTTTGTGAGTTTGTGCACGTGAGGGAGATGTACCTTTCTCTAGTCTCTGTATCCCTGTGAATACATTTCATGAATTGAAAGCTAAAATACCACTTGACATGTCCTGTAGTTTCCAATGTCGGGTTTATGTAGTATTTTAATACAGTAAAATATTCTTTTCCCCCTTTTAAAATAAAAAAAAAAGAAAGTTGTAAGTTCTGTCAACTGCCCAGTTTTATCAGACATGTATAAGCTTCTCAATGATAATGTGATATTTATTATTGGTGGCAGTTTGACCCTTCATGAGGTGCTTGTTGTTTTGTACAGAATTGTTTTCTTTACCTTTTTTTGTGTTGAATGTTTTGTAACAGTGTCAATTTGCAACAATGTCTGTAAGTATGTTCTAATGCAAAAGGTGTGAACGTTAAAGAGACGTACACATTTTTGTATAAGATCGTTTAAAAATCCTTAAATATTTCCTTGGAAAGGGGAAAAAATTAAAGAATGTTTCTTAGTATTTCTGTGTCCGTATCGTGTGTACTCTAACTGATCTGATTTCCAGGATAGTTTTTTAAATAGATGTACTGAAAAATTTGAAATGGATTTGCAAAAAGGTGAAGGAAGGATGAATCAAAAGTGATGTTGGTTGATCATATATTTCATTTTACTCATTCAAAATAATGCAGCTCTAAAACATTAGTTGTGCCTCCACAGGTTTTCTATCTTGAGGGAATTTCCCCAAATGTAAAGCTAAACTATGTAACAGCGCCCCCTGCAGCCACATGAGGTTACTGATTCTGTTGGGCTCCCTGTCTGAGCAATGAGGTGGTTTTCATGAAGAGAAGAAGCAGCTGAGTGCAGCTCTGACTGCGTGGTCCCACTCACTGGACTGAAAAACAACGGAGTGCTGGATATTACCCATGATCCCCGGCTTCCTGAGCCAGAAGAGCTGCCACTAACGAATGCACTGAACTCGGTTTAGAGTTTTTCATATTTAAAAAGTTTGGAATATTGATGATAAACTCTGGTTTTTAAAGACTCTTAAGTCTTTTTAACTGAGGTACAGTTCAGTTTTACTCTTCAACCTGCTCGACCTGATTCTGACAGTTACAGCTGCGACGCAGCATGGGGATGAAAGAGGCAATGTAACATTACACAGTTTTCCACGTCTCAAAAAACGAAGTGATGGCATTTTGTATCATGAATATTACAAAACGTACACATGAGGACAGGGATTGCAGATTTTTAATATAAATCTGTTGCCTTGTTCCATAAATATAATAAACTTCCTGAGCTTCCAACAACTAAATAACCTGGAGGGCTTATTGTCCTGTGAGACAAATGCATTTTAACTTTTTAGTTTCCCTTGTTTTTTTTACAACAAAAGTATTTGAGTACTTCATTAGAACTTGTCTTTAATATACATGTTCCCAATGGAAAAGTATATTATTCTGTATAAATATGCAACTCTGCTGTAAAGGAGGTCAGAAAATCATTTAATTTTTTGTCATTGGTTTGATTCACAGGAGGAAGTTGTTGTTGCAGTGGAAGATATTTTGTTCCTTGTTCCTTCACCTGGACCCAGACTTAATCTCCATTAAACACAGACCAGGACGTTGGTCATCAGCACTAAAGACAAGAGAAGACACGGTTGAGAAACAGTTCACTTGGTATTAGTTTTTTTATCCTGAGACACTCAGAGTCCTCACCTGTCGTGTCCAAGCAGCACGACCACAGACAAGGTGCATTCTGGGAGAGATCTAAAGAGCTTCCCCAGGCAGCGGTCCAGCTTCCCCATCACAAGCTCAATCTCCTGGTCCTGCAGACGACACATATCCAAGTGTGAGGTGACAGCCTTTGCTCGTTCTTTGTTCTCTCTCTCAGGCTCAGGAGGTCAAGTGGGTCGTCCACTAACCAGAGGGTCATTAGTCAAATCTGCGGTTTACCAACTGACTGGAGTGATTACAACCCTTTTCTTACCTGAGAACTGATGTGCATGTGGCCACTCCCCTCCCCCTCCCCCTCAGTATCCACTGCAGATGTTGTCAGGGCGACCCATGAGCGCAAGTGGGGCGGAGTCAGGGATGGACAGATGATGTAGTCCTCTGTGCGGGAATCATCAGAGGAGCTGAGGGCTGCGTGTTTGACCTCTGAACTCTCAAACTCTGTAAAACACACAGGGTGGAGAGTTTTACAAACTTTGCAGATCGAACCCGAGATCATGAATCTGACTCCCGCAGTGTTTTTTGCTCACTTATGTAGGCGTGTCTTGTATGTTTTCCAGGCTTAGCGGGCAGGATGATTCTCTCCACGGCTCCAAAGTGACCAAACGTCTCTCTGACTGTTTCCTCAGACAGTTCAGGCTGCAACCGTTTATCGTTCACTTTAGCAGAGTGCGACCCATTTGCGGTTTTAACACTCGTTGCACCTGGACACTTTGCATTGAATGTGTTTCCATTGATCTTTGCAGAATTGTTTATGCGCTCAGTCACACTGGGCTTTGATTTAACAGCGTAGAGGTGACTGGTGTTGAGGACGTCATGCGTCAAAGCGTCAAGAGTCAGATCCACGTCCAGCATCGACTCATAAACAGGCCTCTGCACCTAGGAAAGGCACAAAGAACCAGACAGAGCACTTTACTAAAGTTTAGGAATTAATAGATTGTAAAGGGAATAGGAAAGAAAAAGGAGAACTACCTTGATGGACTGTCCCTGCAAACTGAGCCCATTTAAAGTTTTTAAAGCCAGCGCCGCTCCCTCCAGCAGCTCGAACTCTACCTCTGCATGGACCTGGAGACCAATCATTGTCAAAGAGGAAATTTAATAAATCAAATCCAGAGAGAGGAAAAATGTGACCAGCTCTAGTTTAATAGGAACCAAAACAGAGGGAAAATGTTTTAAAGATATTTTCTCTTGCACAAACTGCCACAGCAAAACAAAAAGATCCAAGGGTGTCTCTGTGGACAAATCTTCCCTTTTACACAACTGAGCAGAGACAGTTGTTTGTCACGTCTAAATCAATTCATCAGAAAGAAAATAAGGATCATGATGCAGGAGAGACTTACTCCACCGCTTGTGCTCAGCATTTTGATTTTCCGAACTGGTCCACAGCGCCGAAAATGCTGCTTCGCCTCCTTCTCGGAGAAACCCGCTGGAAACGGCCCAGCAAAGACTACACACATGTCACGGAGGTTTGCACACACCTGCAGGATGAATACACACGGATACACACAGGATGAAGACACGCAGACGTCACGTGCAGCCCATTTCTAGTCCAACTAGTTGATGGGAAACACTGTATTATACTGTTACTAAAAAAAGTCTTTAGTTTCACAATAGGAGTGACTCACTCTCTGGTACTGCCGCTCCTGATGAGGGACACAGCGCTTCAGGTGGTCTGAGACAGACGAGAACTGGAGCACTGAGAGGAACGGACACTCGGTCTGTCTCCTGAAAGAGGCCAACACCTGAGGGAGAGGAGTGCAGGGGGAGAATGGTAAGAGGAAGAGCAAGAAAAGGAAAAGACAAAAAGAGGAAGAATGATGAGAATGCAAGGAAGACATCAAACCTGTCACTGCTGATATATTCAGATACAGGAATCCTGATATCTAATAATAGGTCAACTATAGCAAACCTATAGTGCGATATGTGCACAGGAGTTAATTGTGGGAAGAAAACCAAATAACTTCTAACCTCTTTGTCAGAGTTGTGCCACTGCTGATGGGACAAATCCAGATCTACGTCAGAACGCTTCCCTATAAAGGCAACTGACCGGCCAAACGTCTGTAATATGTCTGCAAACCTGCACAAGAAAGAAGAGGACAGAGAATTTGTCAAGTGCACCAGGATGTGTGATAAGATGGATTTCACATTTGGAATTGAGACTAGGATCCTTCTATTGGTGTCAATCACTAAAACAACGTGTGGATGTTGCACCTGTGACTCGGTGTGGCTGCAGGAGGGTCAGGGAACTCCTCCTCTATTGTGTATCCCCACAGCTCCTCCAGGTGATGCTCCACAACCTGATGAGGAGGATGCAATGAAAATATTGTATCACCTGTGCGTGTGTGTGTGTGTGTGTGTGTGTGTGTGTGAGTGTGTGCACGATGGGTTACCTGACAAGGTCCTGTTTTAATAAAGTATTGGGCCAGCTCCAGGGCTGCCACAGCATCCTCAGTGGGATGATGACCCTTCATCTCTTCAGTTTGTATTTGCCTCCTGGAACACATGTTGAATTATTAGCCACAGTCGGTGGGAGAGACAGAAACACAAAGTTAAAAAAAGAGAAAACTTACTTCAGTATCGTCTCGGCCAAGATCTTGAGCTTAAACTTCTGTCCAAACTCTTTCCTGTACAGAAGTGCTGTGTCGATTAGATGCGGGTGAATCAGCTGCAGTGAGGACAAAGGTCAAGACTTATTCATATGGACATAAGACACGTGGTAATGTTCCTCCAGAATGAAATAACTTAGTTTGGAAACTAGGGTTATGTTTTCTTTCAAACACAGAGGCTCCATCTGCCTCATCTCTGCGACTCACTTTCAGAGCCACAAGGTCGAAGTTTATCGAATGTCCCACCAGAACAGCATCCCGCGGCAACAGAGCCCTGAGCTTTGCCTGAACGTCCCTCAGGGTGGTTGTGATTGGTCGCAACATTGCTGCGGTGATACCAGAGAACCTATCAGAAGAGATAGAATAGAAATATGCTTTGACATTTTAATATAGTACATGATGTTGGCTGGTGTGCATGTGTGTGTATGTGTGTGTGTGTTTGTGTACTTTGTCATGTAGTTGAGGATGCGGGTCTCAGGTTTCACCAGATCGTCCAGGACACAGTTTCCATCACTGTCCACCAGAGAGACACGAGTTAGCTCGTTTCCCTTTTCCGTCAGACACTGAAACACAACAGTGAAACAATGATGAGCTGATGCACACACACACATGCATGCATATACAACGACAACAGACACATGTATATATCCTCACAAGAATATAAAGTGCACAAAGACCTGACGTACATATTTATCTGCACACGGAGCGGAGAGGTGAGATCCAATCACAAGTGGTCTGGACATTCAAGATGCATTAATAAGACCGAGTGTGTCCTGACCAACGGTCCACTTGTGATGGGACGTCTCAGGATGGGTGTTAAAAGCCGGTCTGAACGGGGCCTGAGAGCAACTCACCATTTCACAGTCGAGTCCGTACAGAGGGCTGCTGTCAGTCACACAATCAACACTGTCTGTGCACACAAAGTCCTCAAACCCAGGCATTCCTGTAGCAAAGAAACAAAACCAGACGTGAGGAGGTAAAGATGGAGACACAGAGCGAGAGCAGAACCGTCTGAACCACGTCTGGTTTATAGAGATTCACCTCTGAAGGGGTACTTCTTCTGGATCAACTCCTCCTGGGTGAGTAGATACGCTGTCAGTCCTCTGGGCCGTGTCCCAAACTTGGTGATTACTGGGTGAAACTTCACAGCTGCAGCAGAACACAAATTGACGCAGACATTCACAAATTGGGAAGATCAGGAAAAGAGAGTTGCATAGAAAGTATCATGAATAATCACTTGAAATGTGTTAAACTGTAACTTTCATTGTAAATGTTATCCATGTTTCTCACCTTTGGGTATTTCACAGTTTTCCTTGTGTGTTTTTGAAAGTGATGGAGCGTCTGACTTAGGAACCTCCGTGCTGAAGATTCCAGACGCCACGTTCTGAGATGGTGGACTGAAGGTGATCCTCTGCATTGGTCCAATAAAGGCAGATGTAAATTCCTAAATACCGACTGTGAATTGAACGTCTCTCATCAAATAATCCACGTCCCCTCCAGATACTTACAGAGCTATAGTTGGTTCTGAGGTGTCGCAGCGTGAGGTAGTGTTTGTAAAAGTGACTCTGGGTCAGACCCTCCACGATTACAACATTCACACCTTTAACCTTCCTCTGGTGGTGGAGACGACACCAACTGGCAGAGAGACAGACAATATGTATATAATGATGATGGCTCAACTACAAGGACACAGTGTAAGTAAGTTACAGACAGTTATATGATGAGAGGCGATGAAATAGATCACAGCTTGCTACAAAAGTCATTACCTGGGTTGTTGGATGCCACCTGTTTTCCCCAGAGCGGCGTAATGCAGCAGCTCTGTCAGCTCATTCAGTGTAATTGGTTGTTGGAGGCGGTCGAGCGGCACGGAGATCCTCGGTGAACGGACTGGATGTGCCCCCGCTCCTTCCAGCTCAGTTTTTAATCTCTTGGCCATCTCGTGTGCTGTGGAGGAGACTCTCCTTCTTTTCTCCCTGAGGCTCGAAGCTGCTGATGAAGGCTCCATGCTTACGCTGATGTCTCTACAGGAAAACAGAATTTGAAATTAGTCAATTATGCACTGTATAGTTTCAACCCAGGTTTGTGTTTTACACAAACTCCTCATGTGCATATTGAAGCAGATGAGTGGAGCCCTGAGTTAAGGCAGCGATGGCTGTGCATGCAATCTCAATACTTTTTGAGGAACTGTCAAATATTTAGCACTGAATTAGAAACTAGTAATTTGAGTCACAGTTTTTTACTTGAGCCCAAGGTAACATTTTAAAGTTTCATGCTTTATTAATAACCAAATACACATCCTCCCTATTTCAGAACATAACTTATAACATATTCATATTGTAGTTTTAATGCCACTGAAATAATTCTGCAGATAAACTTCTTCCTTCATCTGTCAAAGGCAGGTTTTGGTGTAAAACATGTTAACAATACATTGCTCTGTATTGAGGCACTAACATAAATAATATTAAATAATATCCTGGCCAGATAAAAGAAAGGTTCATATCGTGAGACATGTTGTAAACGTGTTGTAAGTAGTGATGGTCAGATCTCCTCTTCGTCCCTGAACCTTGTGAACAACACATCTTTGTACTTTATTTTAAAGTCTGCACATTGTTGTAACTCCACATTCAAACTGATCCGCAGCCTCACTCTACAGATCCAGATGCAGAAACTACAGCGAGTGTTTTTCAAATTCACAATTCCTCTTAAACTCTCAGTAAATTGCAGCTCGATCACTGAACAGCTTCTGAATGGATTTTTTTATCCTGGAACAGTTTCTGTGCTGTTGGTTTCTCCGATCTGTTTGTGTGTCAGAACGAAAACCAGAGTAAAAGTGTGTAAATACCAGATGTTATTGGTCCGGTCGATTCTAAACTCGCAGCTTCTCACCAGATCGACATGTTGGAGAAGGTGGAAAACACATGGCTGCACCACAGGCTCGTGCATGGGAGGAAAAAACACTACTTCCGACTCACGACTTTCAACATAAAGTAAACTCTTGACTGTCCTGATGCCTTTCACGAGGTAAACCGTCTAAATTTCAGCAAATATAATAGTATTATCTCGAAACATCGAATTAAGCTCACATAATAAAGTATTCAATCGTTTATGTATATATGTCTATATTCGTGTTTACGCTCTTATTTTGACTGGGCTTCGTGAAACCGGAAATGAAGTTCATCCGGTTTCAACAAACTTCCTGGTTTTTCTCTGATCGACTGTCTCGGTAGTTGATTGCTCTGTGCTGCTCTTTATATTATAGAGTCTATGGTGCGGCCCCGACTAGTCGAGCTCAGAGTGATAGATGAGTAGTTTTGAAAAACCAGCGCGATCTTTGTTTTGTTTTGTTTCGTGAAGTTGTTTCTGTCCAGATGTTTCCACAGTTTCACGTTTATTTCTTTGTCTAATTTCAATGATAGAAAATCGTCCGGTTCCCGGGTTGAGGTCGCGGATATGTCGACAAAGAAACTGGCCAAGTAAGAAACAGATAAACCAAACAGCCATTAGCTTGTTAACCAGCTAACAGCTAACCCTGATGCCTGGAGACACGAGGAAGCTGTGTAATATCTGAGTGTTACGATGTATTTATGAAGTATTTAAATGTTTTCAGCACTTGTACACGTTCAAGTTGAAGTTTTTCATGTGTTTTCCTCCATCCCCCCACAGACAGCTGGGGTTGTTGAGGCAGAGGAGCCAGTCTTCCTCTGGGTCAAAGAAAACACTGGTGTCCAGTGAGTCCGAATGGATCCTGTGTTTTACAGAGGTGTGATGTTTAGGTTTGATTCCCGTTGTATCATTGCTGTCTGCTCTCTTTCAGATCAGATATTTTCATACCTGATAGTGATCGACTTTGAGTCCACTTGCTGGAGAGAGAAAAACCACTACAGCCCGGAAATTAGTGAGTAACACTGACTCTTCTTTAGTGTTTCATTTTTTTCACTCTTACTGCCAATAACACACACGTTCCTCTTTTCCCCCTTTCTATTAGTTGAGTTTCCTGCTGTTCTGCTGAACACTTCCTCGGGGGAAGTCGAGTCTGAGTTTCACACGTATGTTCAACCCCAGGAGCACCCCACCCTGTCCGAGTTCTGCACCGAGCTGACCGGGATTGCACAGGTGTCCATGCACAGGCTAAAATATGCAACTACAAATGTCTAGTTCAGTTCATTTGTTCGTAGTCCCATGATCTGACTGCTTCATCTCTGTCTTGCAGATGCAAGTTGAAGCAGGGATCCCGCTGCGGATCTGTCTGTCTCGGTTCTGTCGCTGGCTGCAAAACCTGCAGCTTGAGAAGAGTGTGGTGTTTCCCAACAAACAACAGAAGTGTTCTCCAACTTCACCTTCTCAAAAACTGTGTACTTTCCTCACGTGGTCAGGTAAAAGTTTTGGATCTGTTGATACAAATGTAATACACATTATCACATGCACCAAAACACTGCATTACAAGAGCAGCATTGGTTTTATTTTTGAATTATTGCCTTTATGATAGATGGAAAATGTATCGTCACTTATTCTTTGCTACCATTTGCGTTGTGTATCAGACTGGGATCTTGGAGTTTGTTTGCAGTACGAGTGTAAACGAAAGCAGCTGAGTAAACCTGACGTTCTCAACAGCTGGATAGATCTGAGAAGCACATACAGAGTGAGTGAACGCTCATTAATTTTCGGTTCTGCTCTTTTTCCTGCTGTCTCACTTATGATCATTCCTGAAAAAAATATTTTGTAATTGATTTATCTACCGATTATTCTAATTATTAATTTTTTTTTTTTTAAATGTATTTTATAGTAATGACGAATTCAGTTAGTTTGTCAGTCAGTTTTTTCGGGGGGGAAGTAGCAATTTTCAAATTTAAGAGGCTCCAACAACTGTATTGATAACAATTATACTTTCTTATTTTATGAGCCAGTTGTCTGACAATGCCTCATCATTTTGGCTCCCATGTTGTAATAAATCCTTGTCCTGCACTTTCCAGCTCTTTTACGACAGGAAACCCAAAGGCCTGAATGGGGCACTTCAAGATCTCGGAATAAAGTTTTCAGGAAGAGAACATTCAGGTACAAACAAAGTGCACAGGTTCTCTGGTCCAAATAGTTCTACATAGAAAATGGACACAACCTAAGCATGTGTGTGTCTTGTTTTTCTCTATAACCTCAGGTTTGGATGATTCCCGAAATACAGCTCAGCTGGCAGCGAGGATGATGAGGGATGGGTGTGTGATGAAGATCACTAGAAGCCTTGAGAGGGTGAGTGGCTATCGTCCAGCGCATCCCAGCTCCTAAATACCTGGCCCCCTCCTGTCTCCAAAAGCAAAACCTGTCATGGATGTCGACCAAGATAAATGGAGATCTTCATGGTTGAAGCTTATTTGTTTCTGAGAGATTTTACATGAAAATCTTCTATCAATTTT